TCACTTTTTGAGGAACTGGCACACGGTTTTCCGTAGCAGGTGTTGCATTGTACATTGGCGCCAGCATTGAAAAAGGGATCCGGTTTCTCCACGTTAACACTTGTTTTTACTCGAGGCATCGTAAGGAAACTGAGCCAAACCCACTGCTGCCCAGTGGGTCCCAGCTCATAGCACCCCCACCCTGTAGGACAGAGTCGCAGTCCCCTTAGGGTCCCCCAGGCACCTTTCTCCTTTGGTGCCACGGGGAGGGTTCGAATTGCCAGCCTTTTGTTCAGCAGCCAAGTGCCACCAGGGATCCACTAGACGTTTAAGTGGGTGTGAAATGGCAACTCAGTGTGGTCTAAGTTTACATCTCGCTGGTTACTGGTGATGTTTCATGCACTGTTGGCTGTTTATTTATCTCCTCTGGAAAAATATCTATTTCTCCAAACAGTGCCTAACTCCTTTGCCTTTTTTTTAACTAGTTGTTTGTTTCTTTGCTGCTGATTGATTCTTTCCCAAGACTCTTATTGAATTGTTCTAATCTTCCATTTAAAAATATCTCATGTACAAAATCCCTATGTATGTGAGGCTTCAAAATATTCATGAAAAACTGGAATTAAGGATAATGGAATTGCTTCACAAACTTTTTCGAATCCTCCTTGGATGTATTTATGTCTAATTACAGAATTTATTGTGTGTGTCACTTATCGATTTTTGTACTACTATTGTACTATTCTAACTGTTGTGGCTTTTAATATGTTTAGTATCGAGTAGGGCCCTGTGAAATGGCAAGGAGCGCCAGTGACAGTGTGGCCTCGGCATTGGACCGCCAGCCACAGGCCATTGGCTCAAAGCCACCAGTCACTCTGTGGGAGAAATAGAAGGCTCTCAGTTCCCATACACATGTATAGACTTGGATTCCCTCAGGATCCTTTCTGCTTGGTCCCGTGCAGGGTTACTGTGAGGCAACGTGGACTCAATAGCTGTGGATTTGGGGTTTATAACGTCGTGGTCATAGTAAAAACATCAATAGTAGCATTAACCACACCAGACTCACTGCCATCGAGTTGACACTGACCTGTACAGATCCTATGGGACAGGGTAGAACTGCCCTTATGAGTTTCTGGGAGTAGAAAGCCCCGTCTCTCTCCCAAGGAGGGCTGGTAGTTTCAAACCGCTGACGTTGCGGTTGGCGGCCCACAGTGTAACCACCACACCACGAGGGCTCCAAGAGTAGCATTAGAACCGGAGTAACTTCTTGAGGGGTAATGACAAGGATTAGCTCACAGCTAATCCCCTTGAGGTGGAGGTCAGACATGCCTCCTTTCTCTCAACTTGTTATCAATTTGGACACCACTGCCCCTTCCACCACACTCGAAACAGCCGTGCTGAGTTCCGTGACCCGTCGCAGTGTCCACACACAACTGGCAGACCATGTTCCCAGTGAAGTGGCTTCTGAAGGAAGTCACAGGACACACGTCTACATCAGGATCAGCAGACTGCAACTCAGGAGCAGAGCCTGGAAGCATGTAGGCAAAATCTGGAAGGTTCACCAAATTGGAGAGTGTGGCTCTCCCTTCTTAGTGTAGGATAGGTCTCTCGGCTCTTCTTGTCCGTGCAAGCAAGCAGGCCCTTCTCTCTCCAAGGCAAGCCCCGAGGACAGGCTTCTCTGCCTCGTGAGAACAGACTCATTTTAATGCTGCCACCTGGCATCATCCCCAGCTCTGCTGCAGGGCCGCTTCCAGGTCTGTCCCCACCGGCCGTGATGGTGGTACCCTTCCAGACCCGGCACTGCGGTCATTGTCAGCTCTTGACCCATGTTACCCTTCTTGTAGGAGTCTCCTGGACTCCGTTCTGCCTGCTGCTCTTCACTTCTCATTTGCCTTCTCTCCCAATCCTTTCTTCCTGCTTCCCGTCTTCCTGCCTTTCTCTGTCGGAAACCCTTCTGTGAGGTGGATTGTCTACATACACAAACCCCTTGTCAATGCCAGAGCTTGGCTTTCCCATCAAAACCATGAACTGGCCAATTCCAGTTGCATAGTAGACTACAGGTGCTTGTTTACATAGTTTGTTGACCGTTGTCTGCAGAGTGCATCTCAATCAGAGGACACACTGCAGGCCAAGACCAGAGAAGAGCATCTAAGGGTATGGCATGGGAGTCACGTCTGTCCTCCTCTGGCTGTACAAACAAGAGGCAGCCAGCTCCACACCAGGCTGTTACCGCAAGGCAGAGGTCAGACACACTCCACCCTTCACCCTTCTTCTGACCCCAACCTTCCTCCCCTTGGCATGCTGCCCTGCTGGGTTCAGTAATTCGTTGCTAGGGCCACACAGAACTCACAAACAAAACTCACGATTACGCAGTTTATTAGGGACAATAACAGGTTACAAATGTTAAGATGAAGTTCTTTTGTCCGCACCACCTCTTTTCAGCCACGTCGGCAAGCATGCCTCTCTCTGACCCTGAGTGGCTTTCAGCCTTAGTTTTACTTCTCCGGCGGTGTTGACCCATGCACAGCATGTTTTTTGATAACAGTGCAAACAACACCTGCTTTTGCTAGCAAAGGTCAAGGGCAATGTGAGTGCCAAGGACTCCTTCAGCGAGTGAGCGCTGTTGTGCAGTCCAGGCTTTTCCAGTGCCCACGATGCTAGATGGTTGGTGTCAGAGAAGTTCTGGAGAGCAACTTTCAGATGGCAGGCATGTAACAGGCCAGGGATTATAGTTCTAAGGGAATACATCCCAAATCCTGCTTTTTCTAAGATGAGATTAGTGTCCATGTAAAGCTTAAAGAAGGGTTTTTTGGAGAACCGGCCTCTTTTTACTTGGGGTGGGGGCTGAGAGCTTGTCTTCATTTGTTATTTTATGATATATTGGGGTAGGAAATGTTTTAAAAAATCCTAGTATACATTGTCTTATAAAGTAGTTACTATTTAAACACTGAATGGCCAAGGGAGAAGTCGGGGAAACATGACTAGTGGTATAATCTTGACCTTCACCTAGGAAAGTGTACCAGGTGGTGCGCCAGAGACACATTTGGTTTGGGATAGAGGAACGGGTATCTTGTAACCAGAATATATTGAAGGACCTATTACATGGAGAA